GCATTTTCAAAGAGTAGAATGAGGCCAGTGTGGCTGAAGTTATAAGCAATGCCGAGAGTGTGAGTGGGTTAGGAGATGAGGTCAGAGATTTGAGCATTAGCCAAATTATGAAAGACCTTGCAGGCCAGAGCAGAGAACTTGGATGTATTCTAAATGCAAGGGATTTCACTGAAGGGATTTAAGCAGGTATGTGACAAGCTTTGATTGACGTGTTGTTAGGTGCTGTTCTGTGATTAACTGCCTTTGGGCTTTTATTTAAGATTTAGTTGTGTCTTCAGTGCCAAGGGCAGAGCCTGGTATGTAGGATGTCTGAGGACTGAATGAATGAGCAGATGCACAAATCACGTCTGAGGATCACGGGTTAATATGGGGTACGCATGAGCAGCCTCTGATGACCTGGAAAAAGTTAGTCAATGCCACTCCAGCTTCCTCCCCACTTCTCTCATCAACCGTATCCAGTCAGTAATGTGGTTCTATGGATTTTTCTGTCGATGTCCCTCTCTCACGCAGCTGTCCAGTCGCCTTTATCCTCGCGTCTCCAGCCCCTTATCTGCTACTGCCTGGACCACCGCAGAAGCTTCCTCCTCAGTTTGTCCTTTTCCAGTTTCTTTCCTTCTAGTCCATCTCTGACACAGGTCCCTGAGGAATGTCTAATGCCCAGGTGCGACTCTATCCCTCTATCCCTCTATCCCTGACCAAGCCAACTTTCTCACCACTTTCTCCAGAAATGAATGTCAATTCCACCAGTGGCTAGACCTTGGGAGACTCCTGTCTCTCTCCCTCTCTCTCTCTCACTCTCTCTCTGAGCCTTAGTTTTCTCATTGGAAACATGACGCAGTTGGACCAGGTCATTCCATTCCAAAATCTAAGATACTGGTACTATTTCCATCCTTAACCTCCCCTTTTAAATCTCCTTTATGATTTTTAATTTTGGTGGGTTAGTATAGTGCCATGGTGAGGAGCCTGGGTTGGAATCCTGCTCCCACGACTGAATAACTTAACCTCTGGGTGCTTCTGTTTCCTCAATGGTAAAATGGGGCGATCAATATGACCTGCCTTATAGGGTGAAGAAAAATAAATAACTTAATTTGTGTAAAGCACTTATAACTGCCTGGACCCACAGCACTCAATAAAGTTGCTTGTTACTACTTCTACTACTACTGTTACTACATTCACTCATTTATTCATTCATTCATTCTTTTATTTAAAACTATGACATGTTGGGCCAGCCAGTGGCTCACTCGGGAGAGTGCAGTGCTGATAACACCAAGGCCATGGGTTTGTATCCCTATATAGGGATGGCCAGTTTGCTCACTTGGGAAAGCGTGGTGCTGACAACACCAAGTCAAGGGTTAAGATCCCCTTACTGGTCATCTTTTTTAAAAACAAACAAAAAAACCCTACATGTTGAGCACTTATTGTTAACAGTCTAGGCACTGGGTTGGGCCCTTTACATTCATGATCTAGAACACAGGTTGGCAAAGGATGGTTTGGCCTGCTGTCTGTTTCTGTATGGTTTGCAAGCTGAGCATGGTTTTTACTTTTTTGTGTGTGTGTGGCTGGCCAGTGTAGGGATCTGAACCCTTGACCCTTTGTTACAAGGCTACACTGTAAACAACTGAGCAACATGGACAGCCTTACATTTTTAAATGGTAGGAAAAAACCAAAAGAATAATAATATTTCATGACACATAAAAATTACATTGAGTTCAAATTTCAGGGCCCATAAATAAAGTGTGATTAGAACATAGCCACTCCCATTTGTTGACACCTGGCAGCTTTTGCAGTACAATGGCCAAGAATACTTGCATCAGAGACCTCATGGATCACAAAGCTTAAAATATTTACTATCTGGCCCTAATCAGAAAACATTTGCCAATCAGTCCTCCCAAAAACTCCACAAAGGAAGGCTTTAGCTCACACAGTGAGTAAGTGGTAGTGGAAGGATTTTAACCCAGGTCTTCGTAGGTCCACAGCATGTGTCTTCAGCCACTATACCTCACGAGCTTGAAAGCACGTGATGGACACCTTGTGGTGGACTGACTATGAAGTGAACTCAAGGAAGGGGCTCAGGCAGTGTGGTTCAGTCTCTCCCACATTGCTCTATTGTTGCATAAGAGGTCTGACTTCCAGCCCTGACTACACCATCGATCCTCAGCTTGACCTTGGGCAGCCAGTTCCTGGTGCAGTGTGATGAGCATGGGTTTTGGAATCAGAATACCCTAGATTCCGATCCCAGTTCTGCTGCTGACTAGCTGTGTCGCCTCTTTGAGCCACTGTTTCCATTTCTCTAAACCACAAATAATACGACTTTCCTTATAATGTTTTAGGTGCTTTGAACGAAAATCCCCATGCCGTCTACTCTTGCCCTACTTTCTCTCTTGTGGCTACTATTTTTCCACCTGAAAAATGATGAGACCTTTTCACTCTGACACTCTAGGATCGTGATATTCTTCATGTCTTATTTTAGTTCAGTGTCTGGCTCCACATGCTGTGATTCAAATTTGCATGGAGGTTGCACCCTGGTTTCCCTGGAAAAGGTCTTGTCAGGTTAGGTTGAAGGCACGGGGGAGGTTTAGCCTAGAGAAAGCTGGATGAGGAGCAGGAAGAAAACTGGAGGAGGGGGTACTTAAAGATCCCTCTTCAACTATTTGCACAGCCAACTAGAAGGAGGGAGATGAGTGTGGGTCCCAGGGGGATGGAATGGAGATGAGACATACAGCAGGGTTCGTTCATAAAATATTAACTGAATTACAATGACTGATTTGAGTTCAATTAAATTCTGTTGAATTAATTCAAATTGAATTGAAGAACTGAGTCAGAATGAATTAGGGTTAGTTGGACTGGATTGATGGAGTTAAATGTGTTTGAGCTGAGTTGATTTGGGCTGAGCTGGGTTGGGTTAGATGAATTAAATTGAACTAAGCTGAAATGAGGAGGAGGGTAACACTCCAGAAAGCACTCTACTCTGGAACTACGGACACTTGAGTCCTCTGGTACCAGTTTATTCTAGTATCTTGGGCAACTCCCTGTACAACTGGGGGCCTGAGTATCCCCATTTTATCAAGTTAGTGCCAATGATAACTCCTAGGTAGAGATGTTATAAGATAGGTGTGAGATCACACATGCAAAAGAATCTCGTATCTCAAAAGAACTGAAAACAAATACTGAACTCTAGCTAATGACACACATGATGAAGTATTTAGGGTGAAGTGTACTGATGCCTAAAACTTACTTTGAAATTCTCCCCCAAAATAAGATAGATTGATGGACGGATACAGGGTCATGCAAGTCTAATGGTACGTAATGACTCTAAGTGGTGGGTATATGGGTATTCACTACAAAATTCTTTTAACTTTTTATTTTTTTTTTTTTTTAAAGATGACCGGTAAGGGGATCTCAACCCTTGGCTTGGTGTTGTCAGCACCACGCTCAGCCAGTGAGCAAACCGACCATCCCTATATAGGATCCGAACCCGTGGCCTTGGTGTTGTCAGCACCGCACTCTACCGAGTGAGCCACAGGCCGGCCCTCTTTTAACTTTTTTATTTGTTTGAAAAAAATTAAAATAGGGCCAGCCCGGTGGCGCACTGGATAGTGCGCCGCTTGGGAAGCACGGCGGCGCTCCCGCTCGAGGGTTCGGATCCCAC